GAGCTCAGTTCTAGCTTAATAGCAGTAGTCTAACAATGAAATAAATCTAGCAGTTTTAATGTAACAAGAACATAGTGCTTTTAACGTTTTGATCAAAAACTTTTGTCTCTACCTGCCTTAGCACCGTTTTCAGACTTCAAAACAGCGAAGAGAATGACGTAGGTATTTCCGGCAAGTTGACTGCATCTGGAAACGGTAGTGTTGTTTGATACCTTTGAAAGAAGAAAAGGTAATGAAGAGTTTTTGACATAACACTATTTTTAAAAAATCTTTAAAAAAGTTACTTCACCTGTGTTTAATAGCCTAACAACCGTTGATTATTACAACAAAATCACCCTGCTTAATAACTCTTACTAATTTTATTGTTTTTTGGATGATTAATTAAATTATGCAGTAAATAGCAATCAGAAAAAAAAATTTTTATTTGGTTGAAATGAAATTTTATTGTATGCTTTCAAGAAGAATTATTATGAATGTTTCAACGCTCCAAAACTCTTGCAGTTTTTCATTATTCTCACTTTTTGGTTTTTCACTGTCATATTTGCTGTTAAATTCACATATCACATGAAAGACTTATTGTACAGTTATCTATATACTCATTTAGTACTCATATCGTGGGTTCTGCAGTTCAAAAGTGCAGTGAAAATGAATCAAAATTAGAAAAATTATAAAAAAATGAAGAACTTTTTTGATATTTTTATAACCACTTTGTCGGCTTCTCTATAAGAAACACTCAGAAACTCTCGTCTTCCAAAATTTACTTTATTTTGCAGAAAACAAACAAGCTCTGTCTTAAAATGAAGGTTCTAAAATCACCAAAAAACATATTTCAAGCATAAAAAATTTAATCGTGAGATCTTTTACTTCTGCTCTCGTAATGCCTCTTTTAGCACACTATGTCTTTTATTAACCGAATTCCTGTAATAGTCAATATAGTAGTTTATTCTAATTAGGAAGATTTATAAGAGATTTATTACTTTTTGTAGCACTGGGAATGCTTAAATGATCTGCAGTAAATAGCGATTGAATTTGGAGTTAGCTGATCAAAAGATATTATCCGCATTACATCCTCGAATTTTTTAAAGACAATATTTTGAATTGAGCACACGATATTGAAGTACTAGGTCTTGCATTTTATTCTGCTCCATAGAAAGGTTGACAGAAAAAAGCTGGGTATTATTCTTCAGATATCAAAACAACACGCTCATCTGACTTTCAAAAAAGCTTCTTTGAAATTACATTTATTAAGCTAAGGTACATTTAAACATTTATCAAGAACCAGAACTTCTTTTTCGAGAGGAAAGAATTATTGCTCATTTCCGGAGTGATAAAACCTGAAGGTAGTAACGCATCTTAATTAAAGAAGTTTTCAAACAGTTTTTTATTTTATTAGGAAATATAATTTCTTTTTCAGTTGAAACCGTTCTTTTATGCTTTTACTTGTATTATTCTAAAGTTACTTCGGAAAGTTTGATGCAAACGATTTCGAGACATTCTTTAGAAAATTGAACAGCAGGAGGAGCACAGCAAAACTGACATTGTTTTGTAATTTTTCTGCGTCTCGAAGAGTCCTGATGTAATTCCACCAGTTAATCTTTCTGGTCAAATCACCTGGCGTTACTTGAAAGTTATATAAGAAAATGGTCGTAACACAAAATTTAGCCGTTTTAAATCTTTTATTTTTAATTACATGTTTCTTACCCTTAGTTTTACCAACATCTATCAAAATAGCTTTGAGGTAACTAGGCAGTTTTAGAGTGTACCCAGACCCTCAGTTTGTAATTTTGTCAGATGTCTTCCCGCAAATGCAGCTATTGTTGCAAACGGTAGAAATTTTTCTGACGATTTGTCAAAAATTTTCCGAAATAAATTCACTTTTTCAAACATTA